CTGATACCTTATCCTCTGTTAAACAAATACAGCAATTTCTTGGTATTGTCAACTATATGTTACCCTTTATTCCAAGATTATCTCTCCATACCAGCCCTCTTTATTTGCTGTTAAAAAAGAAAGCGCCACCATGGACTTACAAGCAAACTGAGAGTGTTTGCGCACTAAAATCTCTTTCCAAAAATCTGCCTTCATTAAAAATACCCTCTTCTGGAAAACAGATTTTGCAAACAGACACCTCGGATGAATTTTGGGCTTGCATTCTTCTTGAAGAAATTGACAAAACAAGGAGAATTTGTGGTTATAAAAGTGGAAAATTCAAACAGTCTGAATTACACTACCATTCCACTTTTAAAGAAATTCTTGTTGTAAAACATGGAATAGAAAAGTTCCAATTCCACCTTATTGGTTACAGTTTTCTGGTTGAAATGGACTTATCTGCTTTCCACATATGCTGAAGTTTAAAAATAAAATATTACCAAATCCCCAACTTCTACGTTGGTCGAATTGGTTCTCTCAATGGGATTTTGAATATAAACACATTTCAGGGAAAAACAATGTGTTAGCAGATATGTTTTCGAGACATCAATTTTCAGAAAAATTAAATTTCCAAGTCATTCCTTTCATAGGAGCCATTATCAGAATAGATGACACAGATCATGACCTCCTCGATGAAATATATGAAGTGATTCTGGATAAAACTCTAGCCTCTAGAAGTGACCATATGCAACAGAAAATGCATGAAGTAGTCTTAAGAAATCATGGAGATTGTATACATGGAATTCGATGCCATCCATCTTACCCTTATCTTAGCCTTTTTGAAACCAGGCATTATTATAACATGCCTAAAGAAGTAATCTGCCTCTTATGGTGTTTAACCCAAAACCACCATATTTGTTTTATATTCCATGTAAGAAAACTCATTTCCTACCTAAGACACTGCCATTTTCTTCAATGGAATAATTATATGTACCATAATCCTAGAGCCCTGAATTTTTATAGATTCCTCTTAAAACATTACCATTACACTCACTGGATGGATTCTTTCAGACCCTTTCTGAAACCTTATGTTATTATCAGTTTCCACCAAACTCTCAAACCGCTTCTTTATCCAGATTATACCTATATCACCCAACATCCCATTATAGAAACCATTAGATGGTATGATTCTGATCTCCTTAATTTCTGGCCTAATAATGCAGAAATTTGGTCCGAGCTCAAAGCTACAATGTGTTACATTAACAGAGTCTCTTCAGACATTATTTCCTTGAATGTTTATACAGGACAAGAAGTATGGAATGACACAACTCCTCGAGGTGCAGCTTTACTTCACCAACTTTACCATTGGCTTGCTGACCATCCACCCCCAGAAGATGCACCAACAGATAGCTCAAGTGATGATTCATACAGTGGACCTTCTCCTAGCCCATCTGCAGGAAGCTACGACTCAGACGGTTATCTATACGACATGTATCCAGATACAGACTGAGACACTGTGGAACACTATTTTGTCGGCAGAACACTATTTTGTCGGCAGACACTGTGGAACACTATTTTGTCGACAAACACTGTGGAGTACTATTCTGTCAGACCTACCAGTCTGTTACTGCAGAAAGACTTTTACTTTTTACTGTTCATCTTTTACTGTTTCCAGATGCCAGCTGTCCTGGCCAAGTTGTTTGCTTTTAATTTTGTTTGAAATCCAGCTTTCACGTCCGGAGTCTATAAATAGCCTCATATGGCCTTGTAAAAGGCAGAGTGCATCTAGAGTCTCTCAGCCTTGTAGTTCTTGTGTGCTTGCTTTCTTGCTTGCTTTCTTCATATGTTCTTGCTTTCAGCATATCTTCCGTTTGATGTTTATATCTATCTTATGTCTTTTAATATCTTGTTTCATTGTGTCTTGTTCTACTCTATGTATGTATGTGGCTTTAATGTCATTTCTGTATCTGTCTTATCTGTCTTCTGAGAATAGGAGAAGATTTTGGGACTAATTTGAGAGAAGTACCATAAGTCACATAATAATCCCACTTACCTGAACTTTCTCTTAAGAGATCAACTGTAGGATCTCCATCCTGGTATCTCTGGTGCAAGGATTGTGAAGAAGATTTTTTCTTTGGTGCTTTTTTCTTCTTTTTTATCTCCATTTCATCATCAGTTTGAAGGCAAGAATCACAGTTGCAGCAGTCAAACCAATTATGGCCATCTATGGTTTTCTGTTCATAAACGGGTTGGCCCAGTTTGTTAAAGGCAAGAATTGGAACCTTTTCGAGCATTCATTGGAAATGAGTTGGAAACATATCTCTGGTCTGATTTTCCTGACTGAAGGGTAGGAAATCAACTTGGACCTGACCATCTGTCAATCTAGTCATTCTGGACTCAGTTTGTAACACTGGTTAGCTTTGAGCTTGTAAATTCTCATAGTTTGTAACCCAAGTGGAGGGTATTAATTCAATCAGTCTTTCCCTGGATATTTGTCTGGGGACATAATGGCAAACTGGCTGAGAATTGTTATCAACTTTAATGAACAAAGCAGTGTTTTCTGTTTCAGGGGTCAAAGGTGTAACAATATCGAATGCATGGTTTTGTAGACGATAGACCATTTGGTAGTGGAGAGTGGCTACAGAAGAGGTCTCAATTTGTTTAGTTCCAGTTATTTGTAACTGGACTTTGAATGTTGAACTCAGATTGGGGTCTTATATAAGGATATTGAAATTTGGGAAGAAGGTAACAAAGATGGTGTTTGCATTTAAGGTTGTTTGAATGGTGCCTATACAAGCATGTTGGTATTCAAGAAATCTTGTAGCTAACAAAGCAATTCTTGTTACTGCTTCCATCCCTTTTCTGCCAGGAAAGGTTAAAGCCAATTTTATTGCTCCCAAATGGATATGGGTATATCCTTCTTTTAACCATAAAGGGAAAAGATGTTTTGGTAGGTTTATTGTAACATATTGTTCAGACTGGGTTGCTGGGATATGATGTTGATCAAAAGAAGAGGCTTGGACATATTATTTTATGGACTCAGGGTTTTTCTTCCACAAAGTTTTTTAATCCTTTTAGTCCAGTTTAAGCTTGATTTATCATAAACATGATAAGGATTGATCAACTGAGATTGAGTTTTAGAAAATTTCTCAGGAGTATAGGTAATTTCAAAAAGATGTTCTTGTTTTGAAAACATAGGTTCATAGGTGGATGAACGAGGAGTATCTAGACTTACTTCTGAAGAAATATCTCCTGCCATGAGTTCGAAAATATCTTGCTTGTTAACTGTGATTTTGGTTTTGGTTTGAAAGGCCAACTTTCTTTTACCGCATGTTAAAGGTATGATCTCCGCTTTTAGGCCATTCCTCAGCCTCTCAGAGTTCCTGTTATTAACATGTAACTCAAGAAAGTTTTTAGCAGTGGAATAAAGCCACTGAAATTAACCTTTAAGTTATATTCTGTGTTCTGATACGAGAGATCGTAGACCAGCTACGTAGACGTAGAGCATACTAATCTGAATATTTCTTACAGATTAACCAGTTAACATAACAAGATAGAGAATTGAATCTTAACATGGCTCTGATACCAATTGAAAGACATTCTCAAAAGACAGATAAGACAGATACAGAAACGACATTAAAGCAGTATCAGGTTTGACAGTTCACGTCAAATTTAGCTAAAATGATTGCTTGTGTACGAGAAGGGTATTTTCGTCTAAAAAAAATAAACTTTTTTACTTGGAATTATTTGCTAGAAAAGTGTATTTTGGGAAAAAAGAAGTGAAAAAATGTTTGATTGGGGGTAACTTGCATAAAAAGTCTAGTTCTGGCGTTTATTTGTAATTTTCCAAAAAAAAAAAATAGAATATGAGTTTCTACATATTTAAATCTAATATTTTAAATTCCAGGACAGTGCGGTGTATAGTCTAACCCACATATCCATGTCAGCAATTGGCAATCCAGATCGGTTCAAGTCGGCCTAAATTGGAGATCTAGAAAATATTAAAACATAAAAATTACAATAAAGGTTTATAGGGTGGGGATTTGTGAAGGACATAAAAAAAAATACATTAGACAACCTTAAAAATATATATATGGAAGGGGGGTTTTTAATGGTGGAATCTGGTTGGGATAGTACCTTCCCAAAACCGGTTATGTTCTGGCTAATTCCTACGAATTGACGATTTTCGATCTAAATCGTCGGGTTTTAAAATACTACTTAGATCTGATTGTCAAAATATTAGACGATCTCGGTCCAATATCATAATTAATATTATATGGACCCCGCTTTTATGCGGCCAAGCCGCATATGTAGAAATGCAGGCCTCTTAATTAATCTATTTTTTAGATGGATTTTAAGACTTAATTTTTAAAAACATGTAATATCTAACATGGAGATCATGAATATGAAAAAATAAATATATTTTAAAAACTAGAATTAATAATTCTAATAAGAAAATATTTGGATCGTTAGTTTTCATTATTTTTAGATGGAACACCTGCTTGCATCCATCTTTAAGATGGATGCTTTATACTTTTTGGACCGCATATGTAGAAATGCGGTCCAGCCCGCATGAAAACAATTTTCTTTAAATAATGGGTATAATCCAATGGTGTGGTTTCTATAAGGTTGCAACTTTAAACAATCCAATTAAGGTACACTCCCAAAATTTATCATCACAAGTAATTTTGGTGTAAAAAAATTCTTAAGATTATCTCAAAATCTATTTTTCATATCTAATAATCAAAATTTAAACTCAAAAAATGGTTAAAATCAAGTAGATCTACAAGTATATGAGAATCTTTAAAATGGACGGTCTAGATAATGTGTTTACAAAATATACTATTTTTTAAATTCAACTTCTTCTTTTTTTTCATATTTATATATCTCTACATTTTAAAGTCAAGATAATCACTTAGAAGGTTTTTCAACATTAAATCAACCTTCACCCGTAGATTTTCGAGGTGCATTTGTACTTTAAAATCATTTTAAGGTTGCAACTTTATATACAACCTTATATAGACTTTTTCCTAATCCAATAAGAACTCTACGAGAAATAACGCAAAAGGCGGCTATTCCGCTGGTTCGTTTCTTCGTCCGTTCATCTTCGTTTGAAATTAACATTGGAATCGGACAGAGAGATGTTAGAGAGGTATCGGCCATTGGAATTGGGAGAGATGTTGGTATCGAGAGAGAGAGAGATGTTGGAGAGGTATCAGAAATTGGAATTGAGAAAGGCGCTTTCCCGTAGGTATGACTACCCCTCAGCCTGCAAAGAACTGGCCTTCATTCTCAGAGGGCTTTACACTAATGCCCCAAAGAATCTCCAAGCCCTAATGTTTCAGGATACTCTCCTTGCTTTTCAACTTCTTCCAGAGTACTCTCTCCCTCTCTTTCTCTCTCGAATGCTCATTATGCATGTTGTTTGCTTTTCATTTTGTCAAATTTAGCCATGTTGTAATATTTATCATTTCGATGTTCTCAATTGTTGACATTTGAAAAAGGTTTAGTGGTTAGTATATTTGAACTTTGAGAATAAGAGATGCTGCATTCTGAGGCTCTTTTGAGTGCTGGGTTGTCGTCATTGTTTTATTTATTTATTTATTTGGGGTAGTTCTTCATTGTTGTTTGATTAAATGTTTTACATGGTTTGCCGGGGTTGTCTTCTGTAACTTGTTTAACATATGGTTATGCATATTGAAAGTTGTCAGTGTGGATTCCATGTTGAAATTAAGGTTGAGATTCATTCTACGACATTTTCCACATATTGGAATTGAGATGATATGATGACATATTTCCCCCAAAATTAGAATTGAATTGATTTGAGGAGATAACTTTCTCTCACACATGCCGCATGGCAGTTAAACATATGCCTAAACTCCCTCATTAAAGGGTTTCCTCTCCAAATTTTGAGATGTCATAGTCTCCTATTTGCTTGTTGATTAACTGGGGAAATAAGGGTGGCCGGTTGATGTCTATGGTGGTCTTTTTAACTCTTCAAGTATGAAGAGTACAACTTTTTGGGCGGACTTTGAGTTGGCCCTATATATTGTTTGCAAACATGTCACTAAAATTGATGCATATGAAGAAAAAAAAGTTATGAAGGTCCTCTAACATGTATTGGACAGCTCTCCATGCTATGCATCTGATGCGCCTTAGCATGACCACTTTGATCATGAAAAATCTTACAATGGGTTGATTAAGTTTATGAGCATTGAGTGCGAAACAAAATTGTAGAGAAGTTAGTGAGGTCTCATTGCGATGGCATGACAATTGGGCTGTTAGATTGACTAAATCTTTAGCTTAAAGAGGCTTCTCCATTAACCGGGGATCATAATCGTTCCAAAATAATTGGAAGTTTCTTTTGGCCCAAGCCTCTGCATGTTGTCCTCTGAGATGCTGGCACAGAGTGGATTATCTGTGGTGGCTGGTGAGACTAAAATATACAATATTCTATTGGACAGGAGAAATATATATTTGCAACTTCAATCAATGTGATATTGCGCATGACATACAAGCTCAGATATGATGTGGGATCCTCTTCCATGTTCTAAACTTCTAAACGAATACAACATCCTTGTGACACCACTGGAGGATTTCTAGTTTGGAATGTTTGTGTCCTAAGAATGTGCTTCTTTTCAATATATGTTCTGATTGATGACTGAAAAAATGGAACCAGCGGTTCCGCTCTAAAGATATTTAACTTCTCTGCCCTGTGAACAAAAATAGTTTGGCTTGCATCAAGGTAACTCAAGATGTCTGCAAGTAGATCAAATAGTGGTGCGTTCTGCAGCTGCCTTCTTGAAGAACTACTGATTTTGGCCACAAGTATGGGTTGTCATGCTTTTGCAGTCTATTAGAGTAAAAGTACTTCAAAGCATGTCTGAGGTGTCCGATTGAAATACTCTCCCTTGTGTCTCCTTTCATCCTGCACTGTCAACTTCTCCGTTTAATGGTGGATTCATGAAGATAACCCTAAACTTTATCCGCTTAGGTTCTTTCTTTATCCTATTTGTGGCCAGCTCCTCTTGGAGCTTATTGGACAGGTAGATACCAATTGCCATTCCCACCACATACACTTTATTGAATTCTGCATTAAGCTTATGTAGAACTTGAAGATCTTAGAATATAATTGGCCTCCAGTGGATAGGCTTGAATTACTACCTTGGAACTAGAGTTTTAAGAACTTTTCTTGATATGCTGACCATATTTATTTATATTATTATTTGCAAATGATTTAATGGTTTGGTTACTAGGTTGCATGAGAGTGAGACAAACTTCTTGGCACCCTTGATGTCCATCATACATTCTGGTGTCATTCCATTGAACAAAAGGGTTGATGATTCCCTGATTTAGGAATTGCTACGATGAAAATCAGTAATAAGATTAATCAATATTTGCCCCCAGCTATTGGGATTTGGATGGAAAATCACAAATTATAAAAATGCTACCACTAGAATGTGTCTTGTATGTTTTGTGGATGAGATTTTGCAGTGCCTTGGCTTTGGTGGAGTTCAAAAATGTAAAAATTGTGTGGTGAAAGACTTTTAAACCAAAATAACTGATGGGTGATTTTTCTTTTTGTTAGGATCTAGTTATGTGTGTTGAAAAACGTTAGGAAATAACACATAGGCAACATCTATTAGAATTTCGGGGAAGTTGATGGCTTAAAATTTTAATTTACTATGTTAATAGATACCTTAAAGGAATTGCACTATCTACATCTAGATGTTATGCTCAAAACATATAAATAAAAATATTAGGGGGTAATATGAGATAAATTTTGCCTTCTCCCGCCCCAGCGCAAAGTTCTGGGCAAGTTGCCCTTCAACATTCTCATCTTGTTTTGTGTGGACTTGGAGGGAGCTCAAGTGCTTTATGGTTCCCGCATGTTGTGAGTACCTGGGTGGTCTTTTGTGCATACTTCGCACGAACTGCAGAGTCTTCACTGGGGTTCAGCATTTACCTTTCTTCAAATTTTAGAAATTTCTTACTTTCTTTGACCAGGGACTTATTGTAGTGAAAATTTCAATTAGAATCTACAGAAACAGGACATCATCCTGATGTCATAAAAAATAAAAGGGGTTGTGAATGCGGACAAACTAGTAAAATGGAGAAAATTGGAAATATGGGAGTTGGGAAAAATGTAGAACATATGTAAAGCTTTCAAAAACTTAAAAACATAATGTAATTCTGCTCATGACTACAAGTCAAATTGATTAAGTGACGAAATTCAATACTGCAAATTAATTATCCAATTGTACTGCAGAAAGGTAATCCAAGATTAGCAATTAAAAAAAAAAGGAAACAGAAAAGAAAGATGATCTTATGAGATTGATCTACTAAATAATACTTAAAATCAGATGAAAATATCTTTATAGTTCAGCCTTAAAAACTCGCCAGTGCACCTTAGAGCTTTTCCTCGCTAAGTAGAAAGGGCAGTTCAGCTTTGTTGTTTTTCAATTGGAACTTTAAGGATGCAAACCCTTGACCTTCCTCAAACAAACTAGGTGTCTGACCATTGAGAGCAAGCCCATTTATCCGAAAGGTCAAAATTTAATGCATTCCATCAACATCTGTGACTTTTTCTCAAGAATATAGTTTGTTAGGCCTAGTCTTGAAATAAATCATTTATTCCCCTGATATCCTTCTCATCATCAAAAGCATCTTTGTCTTTTGCTAGAATAGTGGGTACAGGAACCCCATCCCTTGTATTAATCTCAAATACTGTGTACATTAGGTCCGAGAATATAAACTCTATGGTTTATAGTCCATATTTAAGTATGAGTACAAGGTTTCTTGCCATGATGCGTAACTCTGTTCTCTAATTTAAGAATTCTATGATGTTCTTCTAATTTGCTGCCAATATCCGTGTTTCTCAGCCTAATCTGTCATCCATTCCTTTCGAATTATATCTTCAGAGGATACACCTTCCTATCTACGTCTTTTTATGTCTTTGACTCCTATTATTTGGTACCATGTTGTACTGTACATGTGTTAAATGCCTCTCACTAACAAGCAAGCCTTGTGTGTGGAGATCCCTTTTAGTCAAAAGAGAGGGGGCGAGCTAAGAAATGCCTTCAATTTGACATGCCGTTAACGGTTAGCCATTCTGGGGTTGGGCATACTAAGTCGTAGGGATACTACGGGCAACTCTTAGCTCCTCGCTGCTCTCTATCTCCGCTAGCACACAAGGACCTGCACTTTCTGTTCAACATCATCAGTAGTATCATGATGATAATGGTATATTTTAGTTGACGGTGGCCATTTTGTGTAGGCCTATGGGATTCATCGATGGGAGTCAATACTATGAAGAACAAGGATTTGATGGCGATGTTTCTCCATCTTTTAGTTTTGACATTAGTGTGCTTTTACGTAAATCCTTGTGATGGTTTTAGTGTTCTCATAACAGTGGTGAAATAACTTCTTAATTCTACTAATTTTTGTGTAATAAATAGAAGATTGAAGATTCATTTCATGAGGTTAGGTGCTGTATGCTATTGATGTCAATTTCAACCACAAACTGAGCGTTTCTTTGTTAGTTTAATCTGCACTTTCAATGAATGCAGAGTCCAGACAAGCTGGGGTACGTCAGCAGCTAACCTCTTGCTCCAAGCAGCAGAAGCTACATTGCCAAAGCAGAAAAGAGCAATGGCAGTTTCTGAGTTTAAACATGCTATAGTTTCTTACAAGAGGCACTGCAAAACTCGACAAGATAAACATGGTAATATCCTGAAATTTTAGAAAAAGCTAAGACTGGCATATGGCTGTTGTGCTGCTTTCTTTTTTTCTTCCTGGAAGTGTTTGAACATGCTTTCATGTAGTTGTACTACTCCTGTGTTTCATTTTGGTTTTTTTTAAGGTGAAATGCATTCAATGAAACATCACCCTGTTTGAAAGAATACTACTATCACTGGCTTTATAAGTCATATAACTCATTCCTTCATTATATGTACAGAATGTCACCAATGCCCATTTCTTATTCATCCAGTGAAATTTGTGGTCACTGATGTTGACGTACGGAGTGGCTTACTTAAAATGTTGATTCTCTTATGAAAGAGTTTGATTGTTTTATTTAGTCTGGTTCAGTCTTTAAATCCTGGCAATTCTCGATTCCGATTGCTGATTTGGATGGGGAATTTATCAGGACTAAACTGGTTCCTGGATGATATGGGTCTCGACCTGGTTCCCCATAAGACCCCTTTTCTTTTTTTTTTCTTTTTTCTCGAAGCTTAGCTAATGTTTATGTGGTCCCTGCTAAATCCTCACCCCTTCTATTTTAATTTTTATTTTCTTTCATTTATTTTTAAATTTCTTTTTTTTTGGTGGATAGCTGGTAACTTTCTCTTCTTCATTCCTCCCATTCAGACTAAAATCTTCTTGGTGCAATTGGGACCCCACCTAAGAAAAAGAACACAAGGACCTCTACTGGGGAATCTGAAACATATACACGCCTTTTCGTTTTTTCCTGAGGAATAGTTTTATATTATTTTTCAGCTCTAGGTCTTCTTCACTATTTTGCTGTGGATGTGGATTCTACATGGGATGTAGGAAGGAAAGGTGGGAAAATCAAATCCACCTTTTTTCTTGAACATCAAAAAGTAAAATCAGCAATAATGGAGAAACAACATGGTTGTAAATCAAGCCAATAGGTTAACTTTTTTTTTTCATAAAACAAAATTCATTCTAATAACATAAACATCTCATAATGTGATGTCCTCCTTTTTATACATCTATGAAACCCTAAAGTTAACTTAAGATCCAAGCAAACAATGTAGAACTCTAAAATACCCTTAAACAATATTTAAAATTTTAGAAATACCCATGGGAACAGTAATCCATGAATAGTATTTGTGAGTAGTACCCATGAATATAGCCAGTGAATAGTAAAAAAAAAGAAAAGAGAAACTAAGTGTTGGATATTAACCCATATTATAATTCCTAAAAAGTTAACCCTAATGAAAATATAAAACATGCACTCAACTCCATGAATTTAAAAAACAATAATTCTTTGAATCACCTAGGTCTTGATCTCCATCATTCTCCCCCAATTGGAGAAACCTGGCCCTCGAGTTTCGAAATGGGTTGATATGAATCTTCCTCTAAACACAAGGTCTCTCTCCAACTCGAATACTGTACACTGATATTGGGCGTTGATCCTAGGACTTATGGATTATAGGCCTGATCAAAATATCATCGAAAATATCCAGTGTTTGTGGGATGAATTCCTCTAATTGGAAACAAGAAAGGTCAGCCCACAACTGGTGAGAAGAAAATAGCTCTTTACAGTTGCTACCTCCAGTTGTCTCCTCTTTTGCCTCTTCAACACCACCATTATCGCAATCATTACCATCGTTGCAACAACTATCACCATTGTTGGCAACTTGTTCTTTATCATAGAGAGGAACTACAAGTTCTTTGTTTTCATCCAATGGTTCATCAAAAGTAAGATCACCATAAAGGATAGGATAATTATCAAAGATAGGATTACCTAGTTCTATATAAAAACTAGGATCCCTATTAAAGATAGGACTATTTGTGAATTTTTATTTAAAGATGGCCTACGTGCCTATGCCCTTGGCATATATTCTCTCTAAGTGTCTCTCTCTCTCTCTCTCTTTCTTTTAATGTCATGTCTCTTCCCTCCCAATATAATATTATTTTCTAGTATTTAAGCTTGGGGAAGAGAGAGAAAGCAAAAGGAGAGATATATGAACTTGGGAGAGTGATGGAAGTGAGGCCAAAGGCAAAAACCAGCAACCATTAAAGATGGTCATGCGGTATTTTATAAGCACAATGAACTCATAGAAGTTATTTTCTCGATGTTTCGTTTTTTCATCAGTCCTGTTGCTATGATTTTTGAGAGTTTCTGAGCATGCGACTTAGTAACTCTGATAGCTTTTGGTCTGGCTGTGTTAGCTTTTGGTAGTGGTGATAGCTGATGTACGGTTGAAAACCTATCAAACAGTTGATAGCTTAACGCATACCCGATAGCTTGAACGCACGGTCGATAGCTTAACGCACGCCCGATGGCTTGAACGCACGGTCAATAGCTTAAAGCACGCCTGAAAGCTTGAACACACGATCGATAGCTTGAACCCACGCTCAATAGCTTGAACGCACAATCAATAGCTTGAACGCATGCTCGATAGCTTGAACGCACAATCGATAGTTTGAACGCACGCTCAATAGCTTGAATGCGCATTTGATAGTTTAACTCATGTCCGATAAGTTTAACTTACACTCGATGAATTTGACTGCTGCCTGATAAGTAGAACTTACGCTCGATAAGCCTTTGACTAACTCTCATCCTGGGAAAAATTTGGCAGCACCTCCCCTAGACCGGGATAAAGCTTGAATAGAACCAGAACGCTCTTAGTACTAGTCGGACTCCCGTAGGAGTCGGAGTAGGATTTAAAGGTTTTATCTGGAAACCAAAACACTCCTATTACCAGTCGGATTCCCGTAGGAATCAGAGCAGGATTCAGAGGTTAAACAAAGTGGCAACAAAGATCGAGATCTGGAGGGCAAGAAGGTGAGATCATCATGACAAAGCAACATTAAAAAACAAATAAGACAAAACAAAAAGGTGGGAGGAAGAAATGGTGGTCCATGCATACCAAAAGAGCATGATGGACCATCACCAATTTTAACATAAAAAAAGATTTTGAAACTCCAAATTTTTAAATAAAAATTAACAATCCTTCACCAGTTTCAAAAACTACCAGACGGGAAGAAAAGAAGTGAGATCAGGAAAGGAAATACATAAGTGAAGGTGTCATTCAGACTTGAATCTTTATATAATGTTATACAGAACACATATCAGGATAGTGAGTGGACAAACCTTGAATTATGTCCATAAAGGATAAGCTTCCCATGTACCACATATTTCCTTTCAAAAGCTGTAATTTTCTAAAAGGCTTGCATTTATGGCCCTGCACTCTACCTGGTTTTCATGAGCACTCTAGGGAATGTCCAACTCCCATAGAAAACAACCTCCACTTCCACACTCATATAGGTGAGTCTATGGAAGATGTTTTGCAATGGAACATCCCAGCCTAGGCCTTACATTATCTTGGCAAATAGAATCATTAAGAGCCGTGCTCAACCTCTCTACTCATTGCAATAATTGTACCAACGGCAGGAATGAGGCAGAAATTAGTAACTTTCCATTAAATAAATTTGGTACAAACATACATAAGACATCACACGAGTGACTTGTTTTCCCTTTGAACCATAGACTCGGTACCACCTTGTTCTTAGGTAGGATTCCCCCTCACACTGTGACATAATGCTAATAGGCATCAATCCCATCCCTCTAGCTGTCTTCCAAACTTGGTTCCTTGCAAGGCTTTTGGTTAATGGATCCGCCAAGTTCTGGTTTGAGCGAACATGGAGTACTTATATCACTCCATCTTCCAACAGAAGTCTCAACTGACTATGCCTCAAGCGAATATATCTGGATTTTCCAAGATAAATTTTACTTTTCGCTCGATATACAGCAACTTTACAGTCATACCAAATTGAGACTACAAACATGGGCTCAAAGGCAAGTGGTACATCTACCAACAAGTTCCTTAGCCACTCAGCCTCCTTACTAGCGACTTCCAAGGCTATTAACTCCAATTCCATCGTGGATTTGGAGATAGAAGTTTCTTCTTGGAGCGCCAAGTGATGGCTCCCCCACCATAGGTGAAGATCCATCCGCTAGTATACATGGATTCATCTGAATCCATAATCTAGTTTGCATCATTGTATCCTTGCAATACAACTGATTCACCCACATAATGTAGGCCATGGTCTATGGTTCCTTTGAGATATCTCAATACCCTATAGACTGCATTCCAATGCTCTTGACCTGGGTTACTGGTATATCTACTCAGTTTACCCACAATGAAGGCTATATCTGGTCTAGTGCATGACATTGCATACATTATACATCCAATGACTCTAGCATAGTCCAATTGGGAAACGAGACCTTCACGGTTCTTTCTGAGTTTAATGTGAGCATCGTAAGGGGTTAAAATTGGCTTTGAATCAAAGTGATCAAATCTTTTGAGCAAACATACCCAGTTGGTTGTCTCACTATTTTAATTCCAAGTATCACATCAGCTAGCCCCATGTCTTTCGCATTAAATTCAGAGGACAATAACTTCTTTGTGTCCTTAATCCATGCAGTATTGCTACCTAATATGAGCATGCCATCTACATACAAGCAAATTATAACTACTGCACTATCACAAACTCTGGTGTAAACACATGTATCAGTATCAGTGATTTGAAATCCATGTGATAAAATAATTCTATTGAATTTTTCATGCCATTGCTTGGGTGCTTGCTTCAAACCATATAAGGATTTTACAAGTTTACAAACTTTGTGCTCTTGTTCCTTAAAAGACAAATCCCTCTAGTTGCTCAACATAAATTTCTTCATCTAGTTCACCATGGAGAAAAGATGTTTTGACATCCACCTAGTGAGTCTCTAGATGGTGTATTGAGGCCAACGCTATGAGAACCTGAATGGTAGCTATACGAGCAACTAGTGCATAGGTATCAAAGAAATCAACACCTTCCTTTTGTTTAAATGATTTCGCAACCAGTCTTGCTTTATATTTTTCAATGGTACGGCCTTTATTTTCTTTTTGAAAATCCATTTACATCCTAAGGGCTTAACACCATGAAGTAAATCAGCTCTCTAGTATTGATGTCATCTCATCGTTGATT